AGTCTACCTCACTAATGATTTATTTTTATTCCACTATTATTTTTAGTCAGGAGTAACAGAAAGAGAGCTGCTCCATACCTGATACTAGTTCTACTACTACTAACTAGCCTAGTACTACTCCATCGCAACCACAAATTGCAACATACGTATTATTGAGGGTATGCGCCTATAATTAGCGATCAGCAAGAGAGTTTCCAAGTCTCGACGGAGATCGGACTGGCCAACCACGCCTCAGGAAACGATAAAAGGCGGAGCTCTCGTGGGCCACCATCGATGTGAAGCCGTGGGGCCACAAGTTTCATCAAGGGGTTTCGGTTGGTCAGTGAGATCGAGGGATTTATTGGGTGAGGCTCAGGTGGTATAGTGAAGTCAATCATCAAAAATCGCCCATATTTATGTAGTTAGTTACGTAGGTATGCTTGATTTATTTTACATATGGAATATAGCAGACACTAAGGATCTGAAGAACACATCAACGACGCCTCCTTTCCCGGTAACGTTCATCATCCCGGCGTCGCTCACGGTCGTTGTAGCGACTCCGGTCCTTATCGCGATATTCTCCTCGTGTTGGGCTTCGACTGAGAGACCGATCGCGGTGTCGTCTCCGATAAGAATCTCGATAGGAATCTCGCCGAGGACTTCGGCTAACCCGTCGATCACGATTGGAACTTCGTTGTGGACTCCGGCTGTATGACCGCCTGCGAGGAGCCTTATCGCCCTTGTCAAACACCAGGTTATAATCATTCTCTTCTTCGCGAGCATTATCAGACGCCCTATACTGGCGCTTCTTCTCAAGACTTGCTACGCCGCCAAATCCGCCTCGCTGACCACTGCGCTTGGAGATGGTAGCGTTTCTCCAGCTTTCTGACAACTTCGACACCTATATGACTTATCAGCAACGCTAGGTAGTAAACAGAGAATCGTAGAACAGACACTTTGAGAAAAATCCACATGTATACGATGATCATCGATTAGCACGCCCTGCATCTTAAAGTAGGCTTGTTCGCAATCTTTCTGGTTCTCGAACTCGATAAAAGCGTACTGCAAGCTGTCACCTGTTCGTTTGTCTCGAATGACCTCGCAGGATAAGATTGAACCAAACCGGCTGAAGATCAAGTGAAGATCCTCGTCTACTGTCCGTCAGCATGAGAGAACATTTACGAGGACGGCGAACTCATACCTTGAGTAACAGGATTCAACTTGCAGACAAACAAGACATTCTCTGGCGGCTTAACCTCCGCAAATGGGAGATCACCAACCATTTCAAGGGTCAGCGCCTGTGCTCTTGCTTCGCGTTCGCGCCGTAATTTCTCCATAGATTCCTCGTCCATATTATCGTCGAGCTCCTCATCATCGGCTATTCTCACAGTAGCTAGCTGCGCCTTCGACGGCAAAGGGCTCTCAGGGGGAACCACCAAGCCCGGGGGATCTTCGAATGGATCATCAAGAATAACCGTATGTCGGATACGGATATCCTTGAGTGGTCGACCCCGGTCGTCTATGAAGGCTTCGTTTACTTTCTCAAGGACGTCAAATCCTTCCACAACCTTCCCAAAAATCACCGCTTTGCCATCCAGGTAATCAAGATTCTCTCCCAATGTGACGATGAACTGACTCGCAGCGATGCGCTGATCGGGGTCATGTGGCGAAGGAACTGTTGCCATGCTCACTGTTCCTCTTTCATCGTGCTTCAACTTCGGCGGGGGCTCGAGCGAAAACGTCCTCTTCGGCGGACCTTCCAGAAGGCCCCATATCGACGAACCGCCATCGCTTTCTGAGGAATCAGGTCCGAGGGGATCGCCGGTTTGAAAAGTGAAGTTTTTCTGGACACTGTGGACGGGGGAAAAATTATAGTATTTGACTTTGCATAGCTTCAGGAAGCTGTAGCGGAAGAAAATGGATAGCTTAGTTTCGGGTTCAGCTACTCGACATAATACACGCGCAAGATACACAAAAGCCAGACTATCACATGAGAATCAAGTGCACTTACTTTTCGCACGCTTTAGGACACTCGTCGACTAGTAAGTCAATGACAATGTCACCAAGGGAGGTCTCCAGGAGGACGCTCATGGCGTTCTGGTGGTCACACGTGAAGCGGGGATGATCGGCCGTGCGTTAGACAAGGATACAAGGAGGAATGAAAGAAGAAAACAAATATTGAAATTGGACAGAATGAACCGAAATGAGAGAAAGGGGCCAGCACAGCAGTAAAGAATTAAGCTATTGATCGGAAGCTTGACCCTGTGGAGGGAGAAAGATATGGCTGAAGAATTGACGGCAGTATCCTTTTAGTTTACAGATTAAAGGCGGAAAAGTTAAGGTGCGGAGCCGCTGCCACCAAACAAAAGCCAATTTGATCCGTCGATCCCCAACTAGTAGTTGGTAACTTGGTATGTACGTACTGTATGTACTTTGGTATAGGTACATACCATACGCGAGAACCATGACCGACACCTAGTCGGCTGACCCCTACTCCAATGGACACTATTCATTCTACTTCTATTTTCGAAGAGCTTTCACCTTTTCGAATCGTTGAGCCAGCACCCCTTCGTGTAACTAGAACCCACTTCTCAATCCAACGGCAAGCCTTCCAGTAGACCCGTTCGATGTGAAATCGGGCGCGCAAGGTGGACATACGCAAAGGTTGGCCAAGATTGGTAAGTTGCTGTTTACCATGGCAAATGATCCGTGTGGTCAGTTCTTCTCTTGTGAGATATGCGCTTCGATACTTGGAGGACAAGGCTCAACTATGACTCCCGTATGCTCTTCCGTGAAGTGGAAAGTGCTTCTTGGCACCCAGCAAAACAGCATATAGGTAAGCATAATGGGTACACTTGTTAAGGTACTACTGATTATTCACTTGTTTCTCGAGTTCCACAGCAGAAGCGTTGAATATAACGGTCTACTGCAGCTTCACCATTTCACGCCGATCAGCAACTACAGAGAAAAGGAAATACACGTGGTCGATCTTAGTATATTTTTGTTCTCTTCTTCCCTGTCTTACCCTTTGCGGCCACGCAATCGTCTCATTTGGTTTTTCATCAATAATAATATGTTTTCTTCTATATTGCTTTTTTTTTTTTTTACCCCTAGATAATCATTAGCTCCAGCGCTAACGAATGTCAAGCACGTTTCACTGGTTCCTGGCACCTGGTGGCTGGTCCGTTTGTCAACATGGGTCCATTTCCGACCAAACATCTTCAGAAGAAAGGAAAGGATGTCTGCAGATTGCTTCGGATCTTTCCTTCTAAATGGCTCATTTGGTTTCTTTCCTTTTCCTTCGTTATGTCAGCGAACCTTGGTTCGGGGTGATTGTGGCCCTCAATTATAGACAAGGAGCTCATTGGGTTCTTTTGTCTCCTTGAATAGGTCTGCCACAAACGAAACTAATCTCACCAGGGAGCCTTGTTAGCGTATGCGCAGACGAATGTAAATCTGCTATATCAGGTACATCCTTTCGGTTCACGCCCCTGACCTTTATACATGGCAGAGCTTTCCTGTCCAACATTCCTCCCATTTCGTTGGATTTGGTTGGTAATATTAAACAGTCTCATGTACTTTGCCTTACTATAACGGTATTCCCATATCTCTTCCTATACTCACTACATTTATTCGGCTTTTGTTGGGATTATTCTGTACTATTTATTGGGGATGGCATTAGATGATTGGAGAGCGATAGCCACGCAGCCTATGTGCAGATGCAGATCCAGCCCAGGGACCTGGACACAGGTTTCAAGTCAGTCCATTTATGTCAGGGCTTCATTCGGGCCCAGCATTGGCTACTAAGCCACATTTGCTTTCGTTGGGACTGGCATGATCTAATCGCGCCGAAGCATCGCCATCAGTCCTACGGCTAGGATGTGCCAGCCCAGAGTTTTCCGAGACACCAGCGTAATTCTCTTGCGCTAGGTCGTTTGCAATGGCCTCTTTGTGTTATTAGCAGCTCACCACTCATTTATCGAAGCAAAAGCTGGGTTTCCCAAGACTTTCATGGCCGTCACTGGCTGCCGACTCTTCACTAGATTATAGGCGGCGTGTCAAAAGTACGAAGATGTATGTTTGACGTTGAAGATGGCAGGAACCCCAGCCATAGGTCACTAACACCGCCATTTTATGAAGGCAAACAACCTCCATACTCGTCTCGGCCAACCCACGGGGGTGCAGTTTTGCAAGGCTTTTGCAAACGTAATCGACTGCTGCCCGCTTGTTGCCAAATGTATGTGTGTTGGGGTCGGTTCCAGTCCTCGCTTTGCTTTAGGATCCATTTATGAAGAGAAATGTACCCATTTGAAGATGGCCGTGGTTCAGGGAGAAACGTTGTGGAGCTCTGGTCGTGGCTATTGGCTCAGCAGAGCTCAGAAAGGTTTCCGGCTCTCTCAGCCTGACTCGTTATGGCGACTATCAGGTCATGTCCACCCGTGCAACGTTACTTTGTGAAACAGAACCTCTTAAAACGCCGGGAAATTCTGTCTGTCGTCTGTCTGGCTGACCTTCTATCAGGGTGCGTCTACAGACCCGGCCGACTTGACGTCTGACTTGGATAAAGTAGACGGAACTCTGCATAGTGCAACGAAAAAGTCAGTATCAACTTAGCCACTTGCTCGAGCCAGCAAGTGAATTAGCAGTCCTTCGTGGCTTTTGAGCTCTTCCGAATCTGGTTACCATCCGTCGAAATAATATACATTGAACGGACCAACAGAAGAGAAAAGATATTTTTTGAAAAAACAAATACTGATAGAAAGGCAATCAGAAAATTAAAACCTGACACATTGACTTAAAACTGACATCGCTTCCGACTGAGTTCCCCTCACCCTTCCCCGGTCCCTTTTCCAATACGCGAAGATCGGCGGAACATGTTGGTCGCTATCATTCCTGGCTCATTGACCTTTGATACTTCCGGCAACCACTGATTATATTTGAATTTCCTGTACCTATTTTGACTTTATGCACGTCTCAGAACTGGAACCAATGCGTTTTCTTTGCCGCTGATACCTGAAATAATGGCACGTTCTTTCTACACCCCGGAGGACGAGGTCGGTTTCGACCCACAATCTCAGCAAGATGTACTCTCATTATCACATCCAACACAGGCTAGCAGCCGGCAGATGGTTGTGGATAGGATCATCGGACCGAATACTGCGATTCCGGAAGGAGAGAAGAGTCGAAACGCCACCAGAAGACGGATCCCCGTAGCAGTGAGTTCCTTTGCCCGAGGAAAGGGATAAAGAAGCTTACATCCTCAGTGCAATAGATGTCGGAAAAGGAAGATCAAGTGCAGCGGTGATATTGGCGACGGCCAAGGATGTTCAAATTGTCGGTCTTCGGGAAATACGCACTGCCAGTTTTTAAGGGTCAGTCCTCTTCACCAATCACTGGATTCCTCTACGATAAGCTAAGATACAGCCAAGGTCAATTCATCAATGTTGCAGACAAAGGCTACTGGATGGCCGTATTCGTTTATGAACGGTACACTGTCTTCAGCTCACCAGAGACAGGGCACGTACATATCTTCAGTGGCTACAAGACAAGAGTTGTTGTCAGCGAATCCATCCAATTTCCGCGTTACTTCTCTCTCACGTCCACCACCAGCCTTTGGCATAAGCTCGACCGAGTCTCAACAGACCTATAGTCGCCCAGGCTTTGGTCAGGATCATATGGCCAATTACGACGAAGAGCCCTCGGCTGCTTACGGTTCACAGCCTGCAGCCTACGGGGTGCCCACGACATTACCCCAAGGAGCCCTAGGAGACTACTACGGAGTCCCATGGTCAAGGACATGCCATTCTGGCCTTAGCGTTACTAGGGGAGGGCATTTGCCCGATCATGAAGCGGAGGGCACGTTTCACCACTCCGATTACGCTTATATGATGTCGGCGCCGGTAACCCAATCTACTGATACGGCCTTTGTGCCCTCGATGACTGCTCTATCATCTGAGGGACAGGGAGCAGACCGGGCACTTTCCACTCCCAGTGGGCGGAACCAGCTTCAATTGGGTCTATCGGTGATTCCAACATCGTCTGATGCCATTTCCGGGCTCCCTCAACAGGACTGCAGGGTTGGACACCCCTGGACACCTAAAGCTATCATTAATGCCAACAGTGCCCGGTCGATGAAACAGTATACCCCCGAACCTTTTAACGCCGCCCCTCTAAACCGGGCAAAACCGCCCCTGTCGAACACGCAGGAGATGGTGCTTGGATATTTACCAATGACGTCGGCTAGTGCTTCGTCACCGTCGATGCCCTCCTGTGGTACATTCACTCGATTGAACCCCGCGAATTCCGGCGAAGAGCTGCAGAGAAGCGAGGAAGCTCCGATGCGAAGGCCGATCTCGACTGAGAATGCCCGCCTTTCTCTTATGGAGGATAGCTCCAGCATTTACGATTATTGCAGCTCTGAGAGGAGAAAAGGACCAAAACCAGGCACTTCCGGGATGCTGATGAACGGACTTCCTTACACGCGGCCTCCCGAGCAGCTCCAAAGCTCCTCCTCCTCTTTAGCTTTCAGCTTGCCGGTAGCGGACGGCCTTTCTGATCCCGGAGCAACCACAGAAGCACATCGGACGCAAGCTTTGAATAACCCGGGGGGCTTCTATTCCGAGGCGTGCTAAGCGGCTGTGCATGTTACTGCAGCTTAAGCGCTCTGACCACGGCTGAGGGAGTTGAGCAACACGTTTTTGCGTGGTGTTTCTGTAGAGTTTCATTTTGTTTGTTTTGCGATTTGTCATTACGCTGTCTGACAGCCAAGAGTTGGTGCAAATATTGATCTGTTTGTTCTCTACCATTCCCCTTGATATCCTTCTTAGCCCCCCGATAGCTCTGGGTTATTCCAAATACTTCTCTTGCTTGTACACCCTTCAATATCTTCTATTTTTCTTTTCGTTTCTTTTGCTCTTTTTAT